CCTTTGGGGGCAACCACTCGGGACAGCAGGAGCAGGAGAGCAGCAACGGTGGTGGTCCCATTCCCGCGAACATGATCACCTTTAGAGACATTCAGAGCTGTCAGGAGCAGAATCGCAATCTGATGCGCTACATTCACTCGCTGGTGGAGGGCGACGAGGCGGCGCTGAAGAGCGACGAAAGGCTGGCTAGTCTCACCGCTGAGCTGGACAACTGCAAAAAGGAAGTGGAGCGCCTGCAAAGCAAACTGGCGGAGCGCAGCACCGCCGCTGACGATAGTTTTCAGCGATCTCGACATGGCGACTTCAGCTCCTCTTCAGCTGCGGACGCTGCTGAAACGAAGGCGCTCAGAGCGAAGGTGGACCAGTACCAGCTGGACATGGAGCTCTGTCGGCAGCAGCACCTGGAGCAGGTCCGCCGACTGGACGCCGAGAAGAACAATCTCATCTCGGAGAATGTGACCGTTAAATCGGAGGCCGCCAAACTTACCAGCGACCTGGAGTCAAAAACACTGCAGCTGGAGAATGCCAACGTCACGCTGGAGAAGCTGGAGCAGGAGAACAGTTCTCTGCGTGAACGCAACATTAAGCTGAACTCTACCATTGAGCACCTGGAAAAGAGCATCATCTACCTCAAGTCGGAGATTGAAGCGGCGAAGCAGTCGCTCAAGGATGCGGAGACTAAAGTCGCGGTGTCTCGCTCCGAGCGCGATGTGATGAAAAACGCCGAGCTGTCCTTGATTCAGGAGAATGCTCATATTCGCGAGGAGCTGGAGAACCACAAGCGAATCGTCTACCAACTGCAGGCTATCCAGGCGAATAACCAAGAGTCGGAACGGGAGTCGATTCGCAGTCTGCAGATGCAGTGCGAACACCTCAAAGCAAATACTGAATTTTACCAGAAGAAGGCGGCAAGTGATGAGGAGAAGTGGGCCAATTCAATAGCCGCCTTCACCAGTCAAATCAACAACCTGCAGAGTATGCTCGAGAAGGAGAAGAATGGCAACGTGGAGTGGCAGCGGAAGTACTTTGAGCTCCAGCAGCAGCTCAACCAGCAGCTCGAAAAGGGCGCTGCTGCTTTTGCAAATCAAGCAGCAGCCGGCTCTGACGGCTCCAATCTCATTCCCAGCGCCGACCAGAAGCGTCAAATTGCGCACCTGCAGGACGAGATCAAGGTGCTGAAGGGAAAGCTGGCCAACTCTGAGGCGTCCTGCGAGTCGCTGAAGGCCTTCAACGCCTCGCTGGAGGAGAATCTGGCGCAGATGGTGGCGCACAATGATGAGACGCGAGTGAGCATTGAGCGGGAGCTGCAGAGCAAGGCCGACGCCATTCGCCAGCTGGAGCAGGAGATTGAGGCCGCCCGCCAGAGCCACGAGACGATTGTCGCGGAGAAAAACGCCCAGGTTGAGCAGGCACTCGCCTCGGCCTCGGAAAATGTGAGCGTCATTGAGGAGCTGAAGCAGCTGCTGGCGGAGGCGAAGGTGGAGACGCGCAAGGCGCAGGAGACAGAGCAGAGCCTGCAGGACGACCTCACCTACCAGAAGGTGATCACCGCCAAGCTGCAGGAGGACTACGAGGCGGAGGCGGCCCTTCGCTCCACCGACGCCACCACCATCATTGGCCTGAAGCTGCAGCTGGAGATGCTGCAGACGACGGCCCGGGAGAGGGAGGCGGAGGTGGAGCGGCTGAAGGAGCAAGTGGCCAGCAGTGCGCAGTCGCTGGAGAGCCGAATCAAGGAGCTGGGTCTGGAGAATGAGAAGCTGCAGCTGGAGCGCAGCGAGCTGAAGGGCGTCAATGAGGTGCTGCTCAACCAGACTGAACAGCTCAATAATCAGCTGATTGCCCTGCAGAGCAACTCCAGCCTCTTTGCGCAGGACGAGAGCACGCAGAAGGAGAACGCCAGTCAGATGGCCGGCGTGGTCAAGTTCTACCGCGAGGAGAACGCCCAGCTGCAGGCGAAGCTCTCGGAGCTGGGCGATGAGCACTCTCGCCTGAAAATTGAGCTGGACAACTGCCTGAAGGAGATTGAGAGCTTCAAGAGCGCCCTCGAGGCGGAACGCCAGTCGACGGCTCGGCTGAGCAACTCCAACGAGTACAAGGAGCTCTTTGCCAAGGCAGAGCTGGTGCCAGTGCTCACCGAGAACACCTCGCAGATGCGCATCGAGCTGAGCAAGCTGGAGCAGCGCAACAGGGAGCTGATGGAGCAGGTGGCCAAGCTGGAGCAGGGCGCCAAGGAGGTCAGTGAGCTGTCGAANCGAGCTGAGCAAGCTGGAACAGCGCAACAGGGAGCTGATGGAGCAGGTGGCCAAGTTGGAGCTGGGCGCCAAGGAGGTCAGCGAGCTGTCGAACAGGGCGGAAGGAGAGGTCGTGGAGAAGCAGTTTTTGCGCAATGAAATTGAGCAGTGGAAGGCGAAGGCCAGCGCGCTGACTCAACAGCTGAAGAGCTTCGATTCAGAGTCGGTGAAGCGAGTGATGGCGGAGAAGACGCATCTGAGCAAAGCGGTAAGTTGCAAATCGATACATTTTATTTGGAGTTTTTTTATTAATTTGTTTTCCACTTTTGTAGATTCAATCCCTCACTCTTGAAAAGGAGAAACTGGCAGCCTCCCTTGAACAGGCGAACAGGCAGATTCAGGAGGATGCCAATGAGAAGGCCCAACTTCAGGCTCAATCAAGCAAACTGCAGAAGATCAACACTCAACTTCGAAACCTTGCTCTGAAGTACAAGAATGCCGCCTCGGCTGCCTCTTCTTCTTCACCTTCCACCTCAGCGGCGCCTTCTTTTGTCTCAAGTGACACCTCCTCCTCAGTGGCCACTTCTGCGCCCACCATGTCCGCGTCATCGTCGCAGCAAAAGCAGGGCAGCGGCAGCAGCAGCCTGCCCACAGTTACCGTTAGCTCGGTGACGCCGCAGACGTCGGTTCTTCCACTGGCGACGAAGACCACTCCCACTGCGAGCATCAAGCCGTTGATTGATGCCAATGCCGGCAAAACTGTCCCTCAGCGGGTCATCAGCCGACCGGTGACGGTGGTTCAGCCGACGGCCACTGCCGAGGAGAGCCCTTCAACGGTGGTGGCCACCATGATGAGCAGCCAGCAGGCCACAGCTACCATCACGGCTACCGTTCAGCCCACCCAGCCGCAACAGGCATCCACTTCGACAGCACCAGCAGAAACGTCGGCGGCAGAAATATCATCAGCAACAGCGCCCTCGACCAGCGCCGCCGCCACCGCCGCCGCTGCGGCCTCTGTCAGTTCGACATGCGTTCCCACCTCTATGGAGGTGTCTGAAGCTGCCGCCCCCTCTGAGAGTCCACTGCCCACTGTGGACTCTATCTCCTCTGCGCCATCCACCTCCACTGGCTCTACCTTCACTCACTTTA